AAAGCAGAGAGCTTTACAATCTCTCCCATCTGCTAGGCTCCTCCTCAGCCCTCAATAACAGTTACTCGGTAATGCCAAATTCATTAACCTGTGCTGCTGTTACAGTGGCCCTGACCATAAATTAGGTTAATGTGAGCAGACATATTCCACTGCTAATAGGGGATATAAAATGAAAGAGGGACACAGAGGGACAGAGATTGTAGATCATAAACATATTGTCCCTGACAAAAAGCTCTAATGGTTCTTTGTTCGCTTGCATGACAAATGTTTTTTGAAGGACGGACAAACAGTCTGGAAAGATTAATGTACAAATAATGTAATATTAATATGATATATATATATATATATAATTAATATACATATTGTGGGATTAAACTAAACATTTTCGCTTTTATATATTCTTACAGAAACTTTTATTGTATAAATTTACTTTAGTATAAGTCACACTCGAAAATGTGGGATGATAAGACAGCATTCAAATTCTGATAAACTACTACAAATGTGGGATGTCAGAAAAATATTATTTGTAGATACGCCCCTACTTATGTTGGACAATTGCTGTAAATATAGAAAGAGGAGGGAAAAAGTTACGTGCAGGCAAGAAAACTGCTAAGGCCGCTGTTATAAGGCGAACAAAGTGCCAGGAACACACAGAGCCATGCAGAAACCTGTTCTCTCCTCTGCCCTCCCTCCCTCCCTCCCTCTCTACACCACTGCACTGGGAATAAAGATGGGAATGACTGGAGGACGTCCAAACAACATCTGACTGCTCCTTCTAATTGGAGAAGTTATTTTCTTCCAGATTTTAGGCATAAATCTAGTCTATGTTTATTCAGAGTCAGTTAGGAACAAGTAGGTTTTGGCCGTGCAGCACTTTTGTTCCTGCTTGCTAAACTGCATCGCTTCCCTCTGTTCCTCCCTGTCCATCTCCTTTCAAGAAGTGTCGAAAGGAGCCAATCTGCAGGTCCCACACCCATGACGGCGCCGAACGAACGTAACACCCAAAACAAACTGCTATTGTTCGGGGAGACACCGACATTTGCTGTCCTTGGATTACATGACGACCTCTCGTCTCCTCTATCCTTCTCTAGTCTTACCAAACAACTTTTACCAAAGAGCCTATTAGGCCAGAATTCCACTTTGTTGTTAAAAAGGGTCTTGTCCTTTCAGAGCGCTAGCTCTTTCACTTCTATTTTTCAATCAAAGGTGGTGGAGGAACACAAGTTCATTGTTCGTCTCGCAGATGGAAGCTGGAGTTACTACGGCAACAGCTCTAATCCCTCTTTTTACCACCTTTCTTTATATTATTGGCCCATCAAGTGGTACCTTTTAACTCAGGAGCTGGAGGGGCCAGCGGCGAAGCTCCCTCAGTCTAATTAGCTGTGATTCTTGCCGCACAGTTCATGTTGAGCTAATCGAACATTTGCAAAATAATGACATACCGGGAGCAGCTATTCCTTCTCCTGAGGCCCTGCTATAAGAATAACAATAATGATTCTATTATGGAAGAGCGGACTTTAAAACGCCATTCGGACACCATAACAGAGAAGGTAATTGTGCTGGTGTTGTCCACACAATCAACAAGCTATTGTTGGTGACTTGAAAAATAAAGGAGCACAGAATGGGTGCCACGGTGATTGGTCTGCTCTGCCATGCAGGGGCCCATGCTGAATTGTCTGGCAAAGAAGGTCCTTGATAGAACACTGAAAAAAGGGCTTGGATGAAGACAACTGTCTGGCTTTTCTCTTTTATTGTGTGTCTGGGCCTCTTTCTCTCACCGCTTAAATAACCACCAATCCGCATTAGACCACCACTATTCATTTATTAAATGGGGCTGGGCCACTGAAGAACATATTTTGGGCAAAGGGGGCTTAGGTTGTCTCCTTGTGCTAGAACCATGAAGATCTGAGCCCATGTTTACACAGAATTATCTCTGTGTAAACTAGTTTCAATAAAAAAATGACCCTGCCATTCTGATCTATTCAACAATAAAGCAATATATGGGCCTAGGTTACAAATTTCCAGCCCAGCTGTCACAAAAATAAGGCTCATAAGCCAAACTCAAACATGTCAATGAAATGACTGATAGCTATAAACAAAATAACTAACCATAGAGAATAATATCAATTAATCATCAGCATGCATGGCAAATGAGCGACAGTCCAGAAGTGCTGGAATCCGATTAAATCACAGCACATTAAAAACTTAAGAGATTTTATTTTCAGCTGCTTCTTTTTTTTCGTCTTTCAAATCTAGGTCAATATGGGCCTGAAAGTTTGAGTCAAATCTGAAATGAGTTTTTGAGAGTGATGAAGGCAGTTAGTCATTTGAATCATGTGCTGACTAGTGTGAGAACGGATCTTTGTTTGCGCGAGCAGAGGCTGAGGGGAGAGGGAATGCTAAGTGGGCCCCCTTTGCCTAGTCAACCTTCAGTGTGCTTCATTTATCTTCATCTTGTTAGAGTAAATTAATTAACAATCTAGCTGTTACACACTTTCTCCTTTCATTACATCAAATAATGGCAGAGATGGAGGAGGAGGTCCTCTCCTCTGGGATTAGCCTAGAACTGCTGGAGACATCTCTCTCTCTCTCTCTCTCTCTCTCTCTCTCTCTCTCTCTTACACTTTTCCTCACTCTATTTCTCCCTCACTCACTCATTCCCACCCGTGGGCAAAACTTCCCAGCTATCAATTATTTGACCTGATCAAAGAAATAAATGTCACTGTCCATTATGCATGTCAATGAAAAATAAATAATTCCATTCTGCTTCTTTTAAAAATTAAATGAAAACAGGGCCTTCACGTTTCTCTGTTTTCACTGTCAATGAAAAAATGCAAATAACTTTTAAATAAAATATTATGTGTGTGTGAGTATTGCTCAGGAACAAATTCTCAGCACCTAATGGAATTCATTCGAAATTTCAAGATGACTATATTGAACACATGTGAAACCGGATTGGTTGGGAGAGTCTGACTCTGACTATTCATACTATTCGTACAGTACACAAATGATTACAAACTAGAAACTATTACTAGAAAGTCATTTTCTGTTGTCAGATTTCATGCTATGACATAAAAAGTTTTTTGACTCATTTCTGATCTCTCAGGGAGAAAAATTATCACTTTAAAATGACATTCTTATCTACATTGGCTTCCTTATGTTGCTTCTCATTTGCACATGGTTACACATTACCTTCCAATGTGGCAGGAAGTGCATTAGGAGCATGCAATTATACATTTACTTCAGTTTAATCACATGATTACTCAGAAAAAGAATGAAGGGAAAATGTAATCTTTAGGATGAACTAAAATTGGGTGCTCCATGGTAAGGGTTTTGAACATCTTGAAGGATTAGCGATAAGGTGTCACTAACTGTCCTCTCTCAACCTACTGCCCCGTCCCTCCTCTTTAGCCTTGCCCCAAGGTATATGGTTATCCTCCTGCAACAGGTGGCTGAAGTCAAACACAATCCTCCATTCTGTAGCATTAAAGGAAGAAGGCGGGCAGATAAAAGCATCAAGCTGACAATAATCCAGCATGCTCAAACAGATCCCGCCAACGGCGATCTAAGTGGGTCACATGTATGCCAACAAATTTATCAGCTGGAAGAATGCCTGAATGACAACCTAAAACTATTACAATAGGTGAATTTGAACTTCCAAACTGATGTTACTTTACAGATTCATTCATTTTTGCCACAGACTGTCCAAAAAACATGTGATTACTTGCAAACACACCGGAAAGACTCATGTCTCGGGTCAAAGCCTGCAGCCGTCTTCCATGTGGATATGCAGAAGAGATCAGAGATCCTACCGTCTATTCTTCTCCTTCAGGGTCAGTGAGTGCAAATCAGTCTCAGTAATCCTCAAACGTTCAACTAATCACTATAGTGGTGTCTCTACCTACAGTAATACTTCTCTGCTATTATTTAAAAACATATTGGTATAAAAAAGTTTAATAGAAATGAATTAAAAAAAAGACAGTGGCTTCAAAAAGGCATATAAAAAGGCACAACCCAATTCACTGCATTTCTGTAAAAAAAAAAAAAAAAAAAAAAAAAAAACCTTCAGAAGACCAGGAACTTGTATTAAATATTTCATGTGGATTTTGGGGAGAGAAAAAAAACATTGTGTTTTTATTTTATTTTCATTTTATTTTTATCTGAAATCAAAACGAATAGCTATTAAAACAATTGAATAGCTATTAAAAGAACTAAAAATTAAATTATCATTAATTACTGAATAACATCCATTCGTTTTTATGGATTCTGACATCTTGGAAAGAGAATAAAAAATGCTATTCATTTAATCAACTAAATTACCTTTTGAAAAAAGAAATCAAAGGGGATTCATTAGCTTTAGCAAAGTTTGGCTGACAGCAGCTTTGAAAGGCAGATGTTGCTGCTGCTGTTTTTAATGAGAGATCACTAATTAGGGTTGCTAGCTATTCAAGTGTGGGGACGGTGCTTTGCACAGAGAGAGAACAGCCAATGGCTAACACACTTGCTGTTTTTTACTTCCTCTGCGCAGTGACACACAGACACGCAGCACAAATTCTTAATTAGAATCACAGGAAGGGGAAGGGGTAATGACGTCCTTACTCGTTTTGACTGCGGTTATAACACAAACACACAAAACAGGAAATGGTGAGAATCACAAATTAAGCTCTGCCCTACTCCCAATCTGACCAATCAGTGAGCTGGGGCAGAGAGGAAGGTGACAGACATGTGCATGCATTAACTGACTGAAAGGGTCTGGGGTGGGTGGCACAGGGTGTATGAAGGGTGTAATGCTTTAGGTCTGATTATCTACAGGGAGGGAGTGTGAATGAGTTACACTTCTGAGCTAAAACTTGCACACATACACAAACACAGACTGAGACAACACATCATCCCACAAGTTGGCTAATAGTAGGAGGTGTGATATCGGAGCTGTGAAAGGACAGATGAATTCAGCCCGCTGGACCCCCTGTGGCAACAACAGAAAAACTAAAGCAACTAACCTCAGTAAAAAGCTGCTACGCAGAAAGCCCTCCATGTTCAGCATTTGGTTTCTGTAGCAGGAGAAATACACAGAGAGCCATTGTAACTGAGCGAGCACAAGTTAGCATGGCAACTTTAAAACAGTAACAGAGGGGAGAAAACAGACAAAACCACCAACACATCCTCGACTGTCCCTGAAACATTTTTATCTTCCAAACCAAACGCAAGGACAAAGATGTAACACTCCCCACAGCTCCACTAATAGCTTTTCATCCGTCTTTTCAGAGAAACAGACATTTGTCATTAGTGTACATGGTTTTCCAGTCCCATTTTTGATGATATGTTATCGTATGACAGTGGTTCCTGGGCTCTGCTCCTCCCAAAGCAGCGTGTGGTGGTCCAGCTGTGGACCATGTGTGGTGGGGCCGTGGCGGCTTCTAGAAGCTGGACCACAGGGGCCCACACGGGCCCAACTCTGAGCCAATGCTGGGCTGCGCAACCGCAGGGAGGCGGGATGATGTGGTCATGATATCACTACGCACAGAGGCTGTTCTAAAAGTCTAATGCCCCAAATTTGGGGGCACATGTTTGAAAATTGTCTCCAAAGGGTTTGCAGTAGTCTCAGTTTTTGGTCCTTCCAAGACATACATACACATATGACTTATAAAGATCAAGGGTGTGTTTGTATAGTAAAATAACTGTTATGCAAAAGACAATGTAAAGAGTCAGTGTAATGTGGCCTAAGGCAGAAAGATAAAATAATAAAAATTATAATACAATTATTTTAAATATATATATATATATATATATATATATATATATATATATACATTTTTAGTTAAATAAATAAAATATCAATTATAGTATATAATTATATATAACTAAAAATAGTGAAGCTTCACTCTGCATCAGTCCACTTTGGTCCCTCCTGGAGCAACGACGAGAGATGATGCATTTCAGAGCTGTTTTTAAAAAAATGCAATACTGCAGAACCGGAATTCATCAAGTGCTGAAACTAATTAGCGATTTCTCTCATGCTCTAACACCCCACTCCCTCTCTCACATCATCATCATCATAAATAAGAGACACATCAGAGTCAAAAGACATTCAGTCTTCTGCCTCCTAAATGCTTTCGCTTTCAGTGACATGGGTGTAATTTGCCCCATGCCTCTCCCCTCCCTTCATCCTCTCTCTCTCTCTCTCTCTCTCTCTCTCTCAGTGGTGAGTTGTGCTGCTGTGGATGGGTAGAGACAAAGCCACTGAGAGAATGGAAACAGTGAGATCAGAGAACCCCAAGGACACTGCGCCTTTCAGGCCGGCCAGCACTTAGCAGGCCAGAGGACCCGTAAGACCCTCCGAGACTTTTCTCACAGTCAGGTGTCTGGGGGTGTTGGGGGGGATGGGAAAGGAGTGTTTTCGGCCATGGGCGCTCTGCTCACATAATACCCAAGTGCTGCCACAGCAGTGACAACGCGAGAAAACAGTAAAAACGCAACAGAGGCAATCAAGCGTGTCTCCTCACTATTCCAAAGGAAGTGTTAAAAACACACACACACACACACTCACACGCCCCTCCTCTCACACTCTATCTCTCTCTCCAACTCTTGCTTTTGTTGGGGGCAGTAAGAAGACAGCAAAAACACAAGCATTCTGACAGTGTCTGTCTCTTTTAGACAACATGCTCATAGTAACGAGTAACGGTTAGATTTAAGAGTGTTTTGATTATCAGGTCATTTTAATAAAACAGAGTAAGGGATATGAAACATGCATCTAGATTTTCTAGTTAGAATAACACTATAAATGTTAAGTGAGATCTGGAATAACTGGCCTACATGGTAAAGGCCTAAAGCACTTTAGGAAATAAGGGTTTTTCCATTCAGTTTGAATTCTACACTTAATGGGTGAATCTCATGAAAATGTGAGATTCATTTTGACCCCAAAAAAATGTAATGAAGAAGATTTTTTTACACTGTGATAATGTCATAGCATCTGTTTGTTTGTTTGTTTGTTTGTTTGTGGGGGGGGGTTCCCCAGATTGTTCTGCAATTATCAATAGTGAATCTAATTTATGCGATTTAAAAAAAATACTGTATTTGTGTGCTTAGCTGTCATTAAAAAAATGCCTTAAATATTCTAAAACAGGCTTCATTTTCTTTAAGCAAAACGGAATTTATAATGAAAATTTGAAAAATGTAAATGCTAAAATTATTATGATTATTATTACATTTAATAAAATAATAATAACAATTGTTATTTCTAATTTAAATATAATAATGGACAATAATAATCATTATAAAAGAACAATATGACTAGGAGATGTTTTTCAACAGGTTTCATGAGATTCGACTTGAAGACCACTCTGCGCAGTAATACCTCTTCTTGCAGTGTAAGAGTTCATCACTGTAACAGTAGCGTTCAAGTGATTCGTTTATGTGTCCCCCTCAATTTTCTTACCCTCTGACTGCTGCGTTACCTCAGCTCTCTTGCAGCTGAAAAAAAATCGCTGTAGAAATTGAGACAACTACGATCCCTGTGTGTGAGGATTTTGCTGCGGTTTACAGGCCGAGCTGAGGAAAAAGTGACTGAGCCACACAGTATTGTCTCAGCATAACGAAAAGAAATAAATAAACAGAGTAAAGCGAGGCTTAAATTTAGAACAGACCGTGTTTCAAGGGCAACGGTTTGTTGAATGAAAAACAGCGAAGATCAACATCAGCGTTAAAAGTCAAGCTCCATGCGCCTTTTTCTCCCAAGACCTGCCAAGAACCGCTTCTGCCCAAGCGAAGTCTCCCACCATCTGCAACAAATGTGCTCCATTAAAACAGTACCATATGGACAACAAGCCCTCGCTATTAACACGGCTTCTGTACGGCCTCCCTCGCTAACGCAGTGCACATTTCAAACTTTCAGTCAAATTGACTGGCTGAATTAATGTAGTGCCATGGAAAGTGGGTGGGCTAGGGCCAGAGATGGAGATCCCAGCGATTCCATGACTAAACTTATTCTACATATTACAACAAATCTCCTCTATAGATGTTTTCCAAACAGCAGAGGGGGAACGGAGAACCAGACAAATTCATTTTCGACAGTAAAGACATCTTGCTTCATCTTCATACACAAGAAAAGGCCACAAACCAGATTAACGGCTAAAGTCTTACAGGACTAAAGTTTCCAAAATTAATCATTTATTCCATGAAGAAGATGACCACGTCTTCCTCCAGCATGTCAAGATGGCACTGATTAAACGCAGAGGGTGTGGGATGTGATAACGGGACGTCGTGGCGCTGCCCCTCTTCAGCGAATCAGAGCGAGGCAGACTCAACCCGGCTCCACCCACAGACTATAAAGCTCTTCTATTCTTCAGTGCACATGACGTCATAATTTGGAGGTTCTCTTCTGTAACACGCACACACAGAGGACACACATCAAATCAATTAGGCCTTTGTGGATTTAACCCGACCCAAAGGTTCACTCGATTTTTGTTTGTTTATTTTTCCTGTCACAGAGCCTTAAACACTGTTCATAACTAGAGTGGGGGGGAAAGGGGGATAGGGATATTTTTCCTCAGAGTGCCGCTCGCTGACAGGTATTAGAGGACAGCACGTGATGTAAAACACACTCTGTGTTTTGACTCATTCAATTTACTGTTCCTTGACTGGTAACAGTAATACTAATCAGAAGCTACTGTGACACAACTGTGCCCTGGAAAAAACGGCAAAGTGAAATGTTGACATGTGGCAATAATAAGGGCCCACATTGTCATGTGATCTCACAGTGCTGACTGGCCTACACCCGAGTGCTCAGGGAAAGCACACTGTGCTTGGGTGAAATGCAATAGAGAAGGTTTAATTGAGGATGTAATAGGGAGTTTACGCTTTTTTGTCACACACAAATACTCAGCCTTGCCCATAATACAATTATTTTTACCATTATTATTTTACTACTATGGATGTCTTCCGTTCAAAAATATAAATTCTTATCTCAGAGCCCTTTTTGTAGCTCAACTGGTAGATTTAGCAACATTGAAATTGTGGTTTTACTTCTCAGGGGACACAAAAGTAGTTATGTACCCCTGTATACCTTCTACATACTGTAAGTCCATTTGGATAAAAGCTTCTGCTAAATGCATTAATGCACTACAGAGAAAAACCATACGTTTCTTTTTAAAAAGGCAGAAATAGATTCGATAGAAAAGCCAAAGCACTACAGTATATATTGAAGTGACTGATGACAGTCTAATTAAATTAGCATTTCTTCCCCTCTCATCCTAGCCACTAAAGGTGTGAAAAGGTTTTGACAGTGCTGGGAACAGGAGAAAAAAAAAATCCCTCTGTCCACAGATCCAAACACGTCTCACGGGTGTCCTCCTGTCACACGAGTGCATACATCTCCAAACGGCATCACAAAAGAAGACGTGACAGAGAGGGGCTTCCTCCACCTCCCCACCATAGCCCACCGGTTAAATACACTCTCGCTAACAGCACCGGTGTCCCATCCCTTAGTCTCAACCCCCCCATGCTCACCCACCCTGATGAGTAGTGAATTAATTTGTGCAGAGCAACTCAACATTAGGAAGGTGTGTTGAAAGGTGTCTGCTCATGTTTCAAATTAAACGCACTGCTGGTCAGCATTAGCACCTAGATGCCCGTCGAGGCTGCGCGCCTGCCTCTGACACTTATCAGAGAGAGAGAGAGAGAGAGAGAGAGAGAGAGAGAGAGAGAGAGAGAGAGAGAGAGAGAGAGAGAGAGAGAGAGAGAGAGAGAGAGAGAGAGAGAGAGAGAGAGAGAGAGAGAGAGAAAAACTGGATTTGCCTGTTCACACTGGAATAATTAGAACATGTCAGGAAGAATTAATTTCCTCATTTTTCAAAAGGATACACAGAAATTACCATGTTATTATATGACAGGGTCCCTGGGAGGATTGTATTAAATTTGATTTCCAGCGCAGCCCACACAACAAATTAAAGTCATAAATAAGATGGAAAGAAGCAGGGCACAGAGCATATGTTTATGGCAATGAGTGAAGCCAGGGGACCAGGAAGAACTATCTTCATTTCATTTTATTTAAATC